TCCCTTTCCCCACACATACTTCGCCCTCCCTCCCTCTTTTCTTCCCAGTGCATTGGCTGAGCGCGCGAGAGACACACGCTCTCTGGGGTGTTTTCCCAGTGGCGCTAGTGGAGAGAGGTGGGGAGCTGCAGGGAACCGTGCGCATGGGTGAGGCGCCTGTGTGCCTGCCTCCCCGGGCCAGGGAAGCCCAAACTTAAGAAAGCTGCCTGTGCACGGACCAAGTCCACCGAAAGGGGTTCTCATTCACCTGCCGTCTTGTGAATTTCGGTATTTTTTCAGGTTAGTTCTGAGTCTTATTGCCTTTTAAAGGGAGAAGAAAGCAAGCCACCTGCTATTTGAGTATGAGCCTCCAATGCGCTCCACTATCCTTTATAAAGAGAAGCATCACTTAGTTTGAATATTCATGGTGGGGGGGGGAGGCTTCTTGGATTTACAAAATAAAACTATAGAGTTCCCTAAAACTTGACAGTTCCGAGCAAAGAAAGTTGTTGTTGATGGTGGTGGTCTTCCTCTTTTTACAGCCATTGAATCTCTCTTGGCTGTTAAAACATTTCAGAGTGTCACTCAGATTGGGACACTTTCTTAGCTTGACCTTCGACGAGGCTTTGTAAAGTCTGGGGGAAAATGCTTTCTTCGCTTCTGAGAGAAGTGAAGTTAGAAAAGTTAGAAAAAATAATGCGAGGTTTTTAAAGCCACCGAAGGCCTTTATGTATGCAAAGTAAAGAGGGGGTGGGGGTAAGGGAGGAGGGAATCTATTGCCAGGGTTTAAAAAATAATAACAATAATAATAAATGTGTCAAGGCCTCAGCCCCAGTCGGAAAACACCAGAGTGGTAACAGTCTTAGAAGAGGAGATTCTGGGACAGTGAGTGCTGGAAACGTGTTTCTGGGTGCTTTGGGGTGTGAATTTAAAAGGAATCCAAGTGACTGTGAGAGGTGTGTGGTGCTGGTGGGCAGTGGGGGGGGGGGGGGTCAGCGCTGGTTCCTGGGGAACCAGTTCGCAGTTTGGTTCTTGGTCACTGGGGAAGGGCGGAGGAGGGCGTGTGTGGTCGTGGCAGCCGGCTGGCTTGCGCAGCAGCGACTTGAGCGAGTTCACGAGTGGAAGTCAAACGCCACCCCCCACCACCCCACCCTCCAGGCTTTTCTTAAAGGGGCGGGTTGTGGGATCTTCCGACGTATTCTGGTGGCAGTTTGACTCCCTGGCTTTGATTTTTAATTTCCATAATCGGTAGCTTCAGACAGGGCACCGGCAAGCAACCCGCTCCCAAAGTGGCATCCTTTTCCAAAATGCTCCGCTGGTTTTAAGCGCCCTATCCTGTGCCTCGGGAGCGCCTTCTCGGTTCTTTTATTTATTTATTATTATTGTTTTTTCTTTTTCTTCTGCTCGGGTCCAAGAGTAGATAGGGTGCACTGCCCACTCGAGTCCCGCAGAGGTCACATTTGGCGTGCGGGGTCGTCCCCAGCGCTGTGAGTAGCACATGCATGCACTTGGCGCCGGTTGCACTTGCAGGCTTGTCAATTTTCACCCTGGGAAATTAGCAACAAAGCCCGATGCGTCTGCAAGCTGCCTGACACTTTCCGAGGGCGGCCGTACTCGACTGAGCTGTAAAGCAGGCACGCAAGAGCCAGCGAGCGAGGGAGCCCGCGAGCGAGGGAGGGAGAGCGGCGGAGGAGAGCCTAGGGGAGGGGAGGGGGCGCGAGGTAAATACTCTTAAATCGGAAGGGAGCCGCTTCTCGGTGGTAGTGACAAGCGCTGCCTGGGCTCCTCCGGCTCCGTAATAACTGAGTGACCTTTTCTGGGGGCTAGATTAGGTCTGGCTGGGAAGGGATTGCATGTTGCAGCTGCAAGAGCCACGGCTTCCTCCAGCTCGGCTCCGCTCACGCTGCTGGGGTAAGTTGTCGGGAACCAGGAAGGAGAGAGCCAGCCTCGGACTGCATGCACTTGGCTAAAAAGGAGAACACCTGTGGCTCAGATGCGGTCAACACCTTGCCTTGGCGGATCCTGGAGGACCTCATTATTTTAAACTTAAAAAAAAAAAAAAAGATTCCCTGCCCCCCCTTTTTTTTCAAACAATGCTTCTTTTTGACCTTTCCCAAGGAGAAACGCTACAAAGCAGCCACTGTGCTCAGTGAACGGCCTCCCCCTGTATCGCTTCATTGAGAAGGTAAGTGCAGCCGCCGTGCACACACGCGTCGGCTTATTTGTGCTGTGTGTGTCTGCGGGTGCGCGCGTGCGTGTGCGGATGTGGGTATCGTTTTTTTTTTTTTTTCCTCTCTCTCTCCCCCAGCCTCTCTTCTTAATGAGGCAGAAACCGGAGCTGCCACCCAGCTCCAGCGCTGCAACTTTCGCTCGGGCTGCTTCTCTGCAGAGAACGGTTTTGTTTAAATCATGGGAGGCTTCATTATTTTTATGATGAGACATGAAATAGATGCGGGCGGACCATGGAGAAGGAAGGAGGGCGAGCGGCTGCGGCGCGCGGTGGCTCAAGTACGGCTAACAGTGCCTAACAGGCAAAGTTGATCAGCAACTGCAGCATTTCCACACCCCTGACTCCCGGGGCACGCGGGGAGTTGGGGGTGTGTTGGGGCGGGGGGTCAGCTGCGAGAGTTCGCCACCCGGGAAGTGTTTGATCCCAGCTCCCAGGGAGAACGCGCGATTCGGTTCTGTGTTGGGTTGGTGGACACCCCCCCCCCAACTCCTCATTAGTTACTGCAATTCATGATACCCCCGCCCCAAAGAGTTGAAATTCCAATGTTTTAGTTTTGTCCACATTTGTGTCTCACCCCTTTCCCCAAACCGTGGTAACCAAATGCTTTTCCTGGGCAAAAGCTCTTTGGGGGTTAAGGTGGAGAGAAGTGGCCAAGGGGGACAAGCGGGGTTCCGCGGAACGGGGTAACCTAGCTAGTAGTAGCAGGCTGAGATTCAGACTGTTACAACACATTCTTCCAGGGGCTACCCAGTCTGCTGTTATGAAATACAAGTCAGATTTATGATCTTTTTCATATTGAACATGATATGCTATGCTAACGCTGCATGTGACAGTTTAATCAAATCCATTTGTTACCGGGAAGCCAAAGGGGGCCGCTGGGATTTTAGGATTACGGGCACAGTTAGGAAAGCATGTGGCTTTGTCATTCGCCATCATTTTGCACACTGCCACCCCGCAAGGGGCTCCGTGTGTGTGCTCCGTGTCTTGTCTGGTCGCCCTCTCCCTTCCCCCACCTTCCGCCGCCACTCCAACCGGCTCGCAAAGTGGCCTTCACAATAGTCGGTCCTCGGTGGTGTAGGCAACACACCAGGTCTACATTTGAGCCACATCAAGGACCCCCCTCTCCCCACCCCGCTTCCCAATTCTCCTTCTCCTTCTACCTTTGAGCTTGGTGCTCAATGCGAAGCTGCTGCGAGTCAGGCACGCCTAAGTCAACTCATGCAGAAAAAGGAGAAAAGTTTTGGTAAGGTTACGATCTATGATAGATGCACTTGGCGGGCGCGCTTCACTCTGGGCTGCTCCAAAGCCTTGCTGCTCTTCTGCTGTTTTTGTCTTTCTCAAAGATCCGAAATATGACGGTTGTAACTGCTTTGAAAGACTGCTGCTTAAACCAATTAATCTTTCTAGCTGCAACAAATAGTGCTACATTCTTTGTAAATCATCCTTGTGTGGCTGGGAAGACACAACCACAAAAGCTTGGAGCGTTAACTCCGCCAGGGCTTCTTTGTTAGAGTGTATGTATGTTTCTTATTTTTTTTTTTTTATTTTGCATGTGAGCTGCATCAAAATTGAACTCAGTCTTGCAAATCTCTTGTTGGCCTTTGCCAAGCACTAGCACTTTGCTGCCATGGTAACTGTAATTAAACTGATAAGAGTGGAAAAATGTCAGTATCTCAGAGCCTTGCAGCTGCATTGGAGAAAAAGAGAATCAAATTGGTTCCCAGCTCCATTGCTCAGAAAGGGGAGTGGGAAGGGGGGGGCAGTGGCAGGGTAGGGAGGGGGGCTGGGAGTTGAAGGGGCAGAACAGAGTTAAGCAGCTCCAGTGCCCAAGGTCTATTTGCATTGTTGTCCCTTGGGGGGGCTGCAGCCTGTAGGGATGCTCTGGGCCAGTGAACAGAGAGAAACAGCTTTTAGGCCCAACCTAGTTTTCCAGTCCGGGTTGGGGGCTGGGGAGAGGATGAAGATGGGCAGCAGGAGGAGAGGGAATCTTTTGTTTGTTACTTCTTGGCAATCCAGTGGCCGTCTTGGCCAAATTCTTTTCATCTATGTCACTGCTCCCAGCTGCAGAACCTGCATTCCTATTTTAGCATCATTCTGAGGCACCTCATCTCTTCCAACTCCCCGCGTCTGCCTCTGCCGGTGCCCAAATTGCTCTCTGTGAATCTTCCGACAGGGACACAATGTTTCCCATCCACTCTGTGTAGTTAATCCAAAATTATAAAAAAAGACTGTGTCTAAGTGCTGAAGACCCTTTATGCCGATGATGAGTATTTTTAAACCCCTGTGTGTTGTGGAGTTGTGGTTACTTTGTTGTGCTAACTACTGAAGCTGAGACTGTGCGGATGAATGGCATAGAACAAGGAGTATAATGGGGGCAATCAGCCGTTAGGCCGCCTCACAATGCAATCCAGGCAATTAAAAGCTCACCAGAGTTTCAATGAAATGGTTCTACTTATTTCTGCACACCACATTGCACAGGCTATTATTTATGTCTTTTTTTAATTATGATTTCCCTTAAACTGTCAAATAACTCAGAATGGCAGAGTCTCAGAGGCAATAAGAATTTCCCTCGGAACAATTTACATGCCAATCTAAAACTAGTTATGAGCCCTGATGTGCTATGAGCAACTTGTGAAATGTTCCTCAGCCAAGAACCCATAACTCTACGCAGACATGTTCCTCTGGGTGGCGAGGGAAGGCTGCTGACTGTTTTATGCCTTTCAGGTTTGTGGCAATGTGGTGACTACAGAATTGCTCCTTTTTGTACAGTTAACTTGCATAGCATTGAATGATTGCATTTCCAGAGAAATGGGATGGTGGCCTCTGTATCTGGATGGAACATTAAATATCAAACTCCAGTTATGCCCAAGGCCAAAGAGAATGTAAGAGTTTCAAATATTAATTGGCCTTGGAGTGCTAAATTGAAATGTCAACACAACAAAAACATTCTCTGAGACAAGCCGAGTAGCATTGCTTGTGCCAAATGTTGCCATCTCCTGTCCTGATGGCAGAGCTTTTTAAATCCAGCTAGCTGAACTTGCACACTTAATGGTAGTGACAGAACTATGGGACATAGTGTCTGGCTACTGCAGAAAATGAAGAAAGGTTTGTGAAAACATCTTTGATCTCTGTGATTTGAAAAAAAATAATCACCTTATAAACTGGATAATTAGAATGGCCACTCTAATGTATTTCACAAAGGTTTCAACCACCACATCCAGAATGTCATTCAGTAAATCAAAATATTCCCCTCTCCCTAGGTATACAGCTAAGAGGCACTTGGGTCTGCCCAGCATTGTAATTAATGGGATGCATTCCTTGTGGAACCTAGCTAGAAGAGGCTAACTAGTTGGGATCAAAGAAACTTCATTTGTTAGAAGTTCTAGAGAGTGAGATTTGGCCGAGCTATCAAGGGTTATGATTAATCTGCACTAGGCCCTTAGCTCCTTCAAAGAAAAGCAACCGAAAGCAGGATGTAGGGATGCCACCTGCTCTTCGGCACAAATCCAGCTGCTGGTCTGCAGCTCCTGTGCCACGGCGACGCTTATCGTTTAGGGAATTCGGCCACTCCCTGCTGCACAGCCCTGGCTGGCAAGGTGTTTTCTAATCAAAGTTCAACTCGCAGCAGTACATAGGTAAGTGTTGTGTTGTTAGTAGCTAGGAAACTTAAGATGGTGAAGTTGTTACCGTGCCATCTTTATCTCGAGGTGTCAGAGGAAGCTGGGGAAAGTATAGTTTTTTTGGAGAAGGGACATGCTCAGAAAAGGCAGAAGATGATAAGTTCACATTTCTTTTCTTGAAACTCTGTGAAATGCGTGCACACTTGATGTTTTGGATTCTTTTGCTTCTAAGTTTAAAACTTTGCTCCTGGGAAAGAAGGTGAAGTACAGCAGATGAATCTCTTGGCTCTAAGAAGGCTGCTTCACTACGAATTTAGAGCTAGCCATTGAGCTTCAGGAACCCCCGAACTTACCTCTGTGCCTCTGTGTCATGATTTGTAAAATGAGGGATTTGGAATTAATGATGTCTACAGTATTTTACGGTGCTTAAAATGCATTGTTTGATAAAGGCAAAGCTTTGAGTGGCTTGCCCAGCCTTTTATTAAGACTGGGTGTTTGACACCTAGGAAATAAAAAATTCAAAGATGAATACCCATTCGTTGAAAAGATTTCAGTCAAAGTTCTGAAGTCTGCAGAACCCAACTAGAACCCGTATTTGTAATGTACCTATGTTGTAAAATAGATGAATGTCTTTAAGTCTTGTGCAATGCAAGAAATGTGTATGTAAATATATAGTATGTGTATTTGTATAGCTTTATATATATTTACACTTTGCCTTCCATTGGTCTTTCTCCTTTAAAGTAAATGTAAGTTTATGATAATAAAATATTTAATCTTATACTTTAGTCTTATATGCAAACATGTTGTTGTAGTTAAGAAAACTGTCAAAAATATGAGTGCTGACTAATGATCGTGAGTATAAATATTTTTTTTATTTTAACATAAAGACTACTTTGAAATGTCAAGGACACAGAGGAAAGTATTTGAATGCAAACAAGCAGTACAGGATTGACCATGTTTTCTGCCTGCTGTATACACATTTAACTATAAATGTCTCTAAACTAAGTGAGATTACAGTACACTCTCCTACTGTCAGTCACGTATTAGGTGAAATTTTTAGCCAGTTAGGCAAATCTAATTCTTGACTCCTGTGCATTACGTATGTATTAGTTTGCTAAATAGCTTTCTTTTCAGGTTGCTAGCCATTTACTCATCTTATTAAAAAATAAACTGTCCTATGTGTAAAATTAGGGCCCTATGAAGTGACTTAATGCTTATTGAACTTCCACCTAGAGTGTCAACTTCTTAGGTACAACGCAAATTCATTTTTATAACCAATTTTCTATGTGCTGTGACAGGTGATCCAATAGGAGCTAGATGTTTTGTTTCCAAAGCTCTAGTTTAGTTTTGGAACCAGCTGTAAGACAGAAATAGTACCCCTACTGCAAAAATTCACTGTAATATCTGACTTGTTTGCGGTATTTTGACATCTTTTTTTTTTTCTGGTCTTCCTTTAGGTATACAAATGCTCTCAGTCCAGCCAGACACCAAGCCGAAAGGTTGTGCTGGCTGCAACCGGAAGATCAAGGACCGCTATCTCCTAAAGGCACTGGACAAATACTGGCATGAGGACTGCCTGAAGTGTGCCTGCTGTGACTGTCGTTTGGGGGAGGTGGGCTCGACCCTGTACACTAAAGCTAATCTTATCCTTTGTCGCAGAGACTATCTGAGGTAGGAATGATCCTTGCACGCTAGTGATGACTGGATGCCTTTTAAAAATACATTTGTAAGTGTGTGTATTTGCTTGCCTGTTCTAGTTCCTCTACATCAGCTTATATTCCTGAAAGATGGTGACCTTGTCAGCCTTCGCAGTGTTGCCCTGTCTGTTACCCATGTTTCTGCTTCAGCAATGGCCAAGGGAACAGAATATCTAAGATGTTTCAAGTTGGCTTGCTTGGCTATACGGATTTAATATTAAGTTACTCCTCTGCTTCTATAATACAAATCACCAGTTAATGTCAAGGATATTTTTTTGGTAGAAATCTGTACATGTTTGTGTGTGTGTGTGTGTGTGTGTGTGTGTATTCATATACAAGGGTGAGATATGCTAAGCTTAGCACATATAGACACGAATCAGCTGCTTGACAAAGCATTTGAAATCTTCGTTCAACTTGCAAAGCACAGTAGGGGAGATAGTTGGAGTATTGCCTCTAAGTTGCGTCTGATACTGTTCTAAAGTGATCCAGTTGCTGGTTTTTTTTTTTTATTATTTCTAGATGTCAGTTTTGAATTCTAAACTGGGATCTATCCTTGTTTTCATTGTATAGTTTGAAAACTTTCCCCAAACACGGAGACATCTTCCCCTCGTGGCGTTCAGAATGGTCCTGGCAGGTGTATCACGGAGCTAGAACAGCCCTAGACTTACCAGTGGCTTTCGGGTAAAAGCAAAGCCTTGCATCATTAGGAGGCAGTGATAACCACTCTGCAGGCTGTAAACGGCTGAGTAGATTTCCAGACAGTGTAGATGCTCTTGGTTAGGAAGCCGACTAAACCAGATTCCAGAACTTCCATTGCAGAACTTCTCTTCTGCTTTTCAGGGAATTATGTGACTTGATTCTGCTGCAGATTATATTAATAAAATGAGGGGGTCTATCAAATTAGAGAAATGATAAATGGCATCATTTGGTCCTTCAGATTTAATATAATTCCTCATGATTCTAGTTTGATATTAAGCAATGTATTTAGGACTCTTTTCCTTTACGACCCAAGATTTATCAATCAGCAGTAGATCCCTAAACATCTTGTCCATTTGGGGTGGTGTTTTCTAGGGAATTTAGTCTTTCTTTATATTCAGTTCTTCTCAGTCATATTCATTCTTTCTGTCTAAAAATGCATCATTTTATGACCGGTATATGCAAGAGGGTATATCCAGGGCTCTGTTAGTTCCCCTACTTCTCTTCTTTGAGGATCACCTGCTCTGAAAGATTCCTAAGTAATTGTGACGACTTGTTAGTACTTCTCTGTGTTACAAGTCCACGAAATGCATGCGAGGTGCCAACAGGGGAAGGAACTCTCTCCCCAGCCAAAATTCCTCTCATTATGGTGGCACAAGCAATCAGCCTTCATGGAGAAAGTGAATTCTTTTCAACTTTCCAGTCTTTGAACTTCTCCCTTTGAAATAAAAATTTCTCTTCTGCCCATTGTGAATTGGAACCTCATTTTCACACAAAGCATTTGTATTTGTTTTTCATGATTTAACACATTGCTTTCTAGTTTCGCTTTCTCTGTGTTAACCAGCCATCCTAGTTTTTGAACTGCTTTGGGCGTTTGCATTTGTTTCTAATTTCCAAATCTCAAACGGATTTGTTTTACAGTTCCAAGCTTGGGGGTTTATGGATAGAGGCAATTCAAAAAAGTTCCAGGAAAGTGTAATTTTAAAGAAAAGCTTATTTTGGTGCAAAAAAAAAAAAAAATGAAGTCCATACCTACTTTTTTACATTTACTATGAACATTTGGAGGATGCTAGGTAGTTTATAAGGTCGTGGTATTTTAATAAACAACAACAACAATAAAAAAGACAAAGCTTAAGTCAACTTTAATGAAACTGACTTAAATGAGGGGGTTTTTAAAATTCAAACTATAAATTTGTCATTGAAATGCATGCAGTCTAGTAAAACTGTTTTACAATTGCAAGTACAGAAATGAGCCAAGAAAATAACAAATTTGTTTCATTTTTCCTTCCAGGAATAAAAATTATAATTACTAGCCAATATTTGATAATGTTTAGTCAGTGGTTTGTTGAAGGGAATTCATCGAAAGTAGTTTTTGTATCAGAAATTCTTCTCTCTAAGTCAGTATCTGTTGCTTTTTTGTGGTTCAAATTTTCATTCATTTCTCAAACTTTTAATGCTGGTCTAGATGAGGGTTGCACTGTAACTGTCCCCATCATTAACCCAGCTCCTGTTGCCTGTACATCCTCTTAAACTGGGCATTACTACGTAAGTGGCCAGTTGTTAAGTCAGCAGCCTAAAGCATATCTTTTATTTGAAACGAAGGTTTGCTGTGTATAATGAGATTTCTTTGACAATGCAGTCAACCCTACAATTTGTAGAAGTAAAATGGACAATTTGTGTGTGTGCAAAACACTATGATGTGTGTTTCAGTTTATACTGCAGATACAGTGTGTAGTTTCCTGTGTTACACATCTCAATTAAATGTATATGTGTGTAGATCGCTCATGTCTCTGACTTGCTAGTCAAAACAGTCCAATACAATGTGTTAAGTCAGCAAATATAGAAAAGCAGCTCCTATTTACAAAGAATTCCTTTGAGAGTGTGTAGACATTCAAACACATTTATAAAGTCCTGCTGGTGAAAGGTCCACTATTAGGCAATGAATGAAATTAACACAGTGAAGAAAGGAGATACTCCGAAATTTTTTGGTAACTGTCTACTTAATTACACAAAATCTATGATAGGATTAGTGCATAAGTAATATTCTGTGGTTTTTTTTCCTGATTTCTTGGAAAAAAAAAACTTTTTTGAATTTCCTTTCTGATTCACCATACTTCCTTTTTCTGTATTTTTGCATGACCAAGTTTTAATCATTTAAATTTTGTAAAAAACTTGTTTTATTTTGTTTTGATTTGAGCCTATGGATATTATATGATTTCTTGAATGCACTAAGCAAGCTGTAAATAATTTAGATTTGTATTTCTCTAATTACACAAACTTAGGTGAAAATACTGAGAATTATAAGGAAGAAAAGTACCAAAAAGTTATTGTTTTTTGGTATTACCCAGGACAGAAAAATTTTCACATTTTACCAAATCTATTTAGCTTCCTAATTAACTGCTCTTCCAAAGAAATAATAATAATAATAATAAAACCTCAATAATTTTGAATAAAACAGGCTTGGATTTTTGCTTTAATTTGTGTCTGAGCAGTGATATTGATGATGTACTTTTACAAATTCTTTCAATGATTTGAGATACTAATAACATGAAAATATAAACAAAGAGATATATTTTTCTTCAGGATTGTATAAATCAGCACTAAATATGATCCCTTTATAACTTTTCTCTCCTCTGTGTCACAATAAACTGTTTAGGGAAAGGAAAACTCTTTGATGATTTTTTGTAGAATTTTATCATTACCAGTGAAATGACTCAGTTTTTCAGTAAGTAAACCTGATGGAATACCTTATGTTGCTACAGAGAATAAAGTAAGCACATCGGTGTCCTTAGAAGTTTTTTATTTGCAGGATAATATTCCTCCTACAGAAACCCGTTAAAAGAAGAAAAGGATTCACTTTTAAAAACTTCTGCTACTAACATGGTTAAGCTATTAATTCCATTTACTGGTCAGAATTTACATGCCAGGCCCCAAAAGCATATCCACTAAGAATGTGCCCAACACATTTATAGACACTTTTATTTTGTAAAGGGGAACGTTTGACAAAAGAGAGAAATTTATCTTTTTATGCTAAACTAAATGTTGAACATTGGTAGTATATAAAGTAGATGAAGAATTATCACATAAAATATTAAACTTCGAATAATGAGTTCTAATAAACTCTGGTTATTGATAACTATCATCTTTAATTAGGTTTGGAAAATACAAAAAGTATTCAATGTATATGCATAGTTTTGATTTTTTTTTTTATGTTCACACCTAATGACAAGCATTAAGCAGTTAGACCCAGGACCAACATCAAAGTACCTTCATTTTCTTCTTAGAAATATTAAAGAATAGTAGAACTTAGCATTTGTACTTTTGGGTAGTTTCTGCTTGTTTTTGTTTAAGCCTGCAGTTTCTCATGATTTATTTTAAGCCTGAAGTCGGCATAGACTGTATTCCATCTCTGGGTGAATGGGATCTTGGGAGTTTGGTCAAAGCTGTTTGCTGTCCTATATGCCGTGGAAGCTGCCTATGGCTGCGCCTATATTGGAAGCTGTAAAACGTCTTCTATAAAATTTAATCCAATTTGGTATTTTTATATGGGAATGATTTGTTTAAAATGAAACTACTGGAAAAGAGACATGTTTCAAGCTTAGCCTAGTTGCCAATTAACTAAAATGATTTGAAGCCTGCTATGCTGACTGCAAATTTTATGTGCTTTAATATAATAATATAATAAATATAATAATATAATAACTCCAAAGGAGGAAATTAAAATAAAATGCTGCACAAAATATCAGTCTCACTAGAAGTTTTTTCCATGGGATCAGACCCAGTGTTTCTACATTTATATACAAGGTTCAATTTATATTGGTGTGTAATTATGGCTTTAAAAGTAAATATGGGTATGTTGTTAACTTGATATTTTGTGGCAGTTCATAGTGCAGTTCCTTTTTAATATTGAATAAGACATTTTTTTCTTCAAAATGTCACATTTTCTTAAATTAGTCATTTGGAAACATTTTCCCTTGAAAGCAGTGTATTATCAGTGTTGGAAAAATCACTTTTTATCATTCCCAATTATGAAAACGCAAGCTTTCATCTGAAATGAAACTGTGCAAAGCAGCTGTCCTCTAAAGGCTCCGTGTGGGTGTTTGCACGCTTTGTTACAAGTTACTGCAGTCCTACTGAAATGTGAGCGCTCACCCGAGTATCAGGAAATATTTCCACTTACATATTCATCTCTATAGTTCATTATGTATTCCTCGCAAATGATATATTCTTCCCTTATTGTCTTACCTTATCTGTAGCTTTAAGTTGCAATTTCAGTTT